TCAGGCGACTTACTTTATGGTGTTGTGCCCTACTGAAACATTTAAATATCACCCATTTGTAGTTGAGTATCTCTCCGGGTCATAGTTGTTATGCACTAGGGTTTTCTTTTCTTCCAGATTTCACCAAATTAGTTATATGTTTTATTATGATATTATGATTTATTAGGCAGGGAACATTCATGTTCCAGTTCAAACTAGAGCAACTACAAACTTATTACAAACGTAAATTCGGTACTAGCTACCCGAAGGTGCAGCTTTAATTCGGTTTATATAGATGTAACCACCTAAGCTTTGGTTTATATCTTTAATGAGTATCTAGACCATTTAACTTATAAGTTTAAGTTTTCTTGAAAAGTGGGATGTATTAATTAGTCTGCAAAAAGAATTTATGTTTAGGTTTTATACTAAAGGTTTTCATATTTTCTGTATACAGAAGCTATAGTGCTATACTTCTTTTTTGAGCAGCATACAGAAACTATACTTGGTGGATTATTTTGATATATCCTACAAATATTATGAAAAATCATATATTCGAATGAGGCTTAATATTTTTCATGAAATATCACATTGAATTTCACACAAATCAAATATTGATGGCAAGTGCTACAACAATCCATTTGCATGCTTACTAGTTTTAAATTATATGGATTTGCAGATAATGAGCAATGGTATGTACAACAGCATTGAGCATAGAGCGACTGTTAACACAACAAAAGAGAGGATTTCATTAGCCATGTTCTTTAATCCAAAGCTTGATGCAGATGTTGGACCAGCAAAGAGTCTCCTAACAAACACAGGAGACCCACCGCTGTACAAAACACTCGTAATGGAACAGTACCTCAAGGACTTCTTCTCCCGCAAGCTCAATGGAAAGACATTTATCGAGAAAATGAAAATAAGAAGCAGTGAAGCAATTGAAACTTGATCAAATATCCTAGTCATGTTTTATCGTAAAATAATTTGGTTGACGTTATTCGAAGTATAAGCTAGAAACAAATAAAACATAAATTGAACATGATTGACATACAAATAATCTATAGAGTAGTTATGAACTCCATGTTTTACATGTAGTATCGATATGGATCTAAATAGTGAATGTTATTCGAAGTATAAGCTAGACACAAACACTTAAGATGGCGGTTATGACAGTTAATGATAGTTATTCAACCGTTATGACCGGAGGGTTGCAACAGTTTACTATGTGATATATATCTATATATAGTTGTATATAAGTGTGTATTATTGTATGTATTGTATGTATTATATCAAATTGTACATACGTAAATAAAAGAAATATTTGTTTGTCTTATATCTAATTGCCACACTTCATCTTCTTCCTCTCGCACCAATACACCGGTATCAGAGTCATATTGAAACTCAAGATAGATAACGTTTCTAGTATTTATTAAGGGTTAATTAGTAATTAAGATTTGTTAACAGTTACAAAAGTTATTGATGGACGGTTAAGTGAACTGGTGTTTATGAAACGTTGTGATGGTATTAATAGATAAAGTATGGTTTGCTCACCCTCAACATCCATCACTCAGAACAAACACTATTCTTCCTTGGTTGGATCTTAAAGCTTTTTGGTGGTGTTTTGTGATTTTGAAGCAAGAAGAAGGTGTTCTTAGTTCAATATTCAGCAAGCAAGCTCCTCACTGCCTTCTTACACTCATTATGGACCTTTGTTAGTCTTCAAGATCATAACTTTTATGTGTAACAACTCTAGATCTAGGCTTTTAAGCAATTTTCTCCTTGTTTAAGGTGGTTTGACTGGATGGATTCCATAAAGTTGGAAATTTATTGATCCTTAAGGTCCCTTTGTGGTTATATGTTCCAAATCTAATGTTCTATGGAATGCTTGGTCTTGTGGAAGAGTTTTGAGCTCATTTCTTTCATTTTTGACCTAACTTGGAAAAGACATGCATCAGACATGCATGTCCATAAAGCAAAGATCTTTATGATGTATTTGCGTGTAAGAAAGCCTCCTGAAAAGTATGGATGAATGGTTTAAGGGATTAAGAACTTAATCCATTTAGTTGGCCAGAACAGATGCCACGATGGTTTGATCACCACGACGTGGTGATAAGCACTCTTGCGACTGTTTTGTCGTGAGGCTACCACGACATGACATATGCTTGGCCACGACATGGTGGTCAGACAGGGTTGACTTTGACCTTTGAGTTTTTAACCAAGTTGACTTTTGGTCAACCTGGGGGTTTTAAGCTATAGATTGAGGATGCGCCTTTGATTTTTGTATAGGTGGCTCATACCACTAGTTTTTGTTTGGTGTGAGCTGTGTTGATTATCTGCTAGTCTACAAGGTGAGTTTTCTCACTATACTTTGTACCGCTGTATGTATCCTTTTTCTGTAGGATGTTGATATACTATAGTGATCTGTTAGATTGGTAGATCTATTAAGATTACCTTTGTTTGTTGGCTATTGTTTGCTTGTTTGCATATGTCGACTTGGGTTGAGGCGGTCCTGCTCTATGCTATAGGCCAAGATACCCGGGCAGTCCAGTTGTTACCGTAGGCCCAAGGAGAGCAGTCCAACTATATGTTATGTAACACCCAAAACTTTTAGATACATTTTAATATTATTTTATGGGAATTTGTCAGAGTTTTATACATCATCATTCAAAAACATGAGTTTCAAAAACCACATGACGTTTTCCCAAAAGCCTTTTTTATAGCTTCCAAAGTGACCGCATGTGGTCCTTGATTTCCTCCAGTACTCCCTTCACCTTCATGAGCCTGTACTGGGGTGCTTCTAGTACGTACCATCTTCTGAAATGGTATTTGTTACTAAACTGATATCATCGTATCACTTTGATAAGTACTACTATTAACGTAACAATTCTTATATAAAACATTTTATTAATCAGATCACTTCCTAATATTAGTAACAATGATCCTACCGTACTCTGGTTCTTTTCAATCATCATAGTTTAAGCCTAGATGTGGATAGTCCAAATCTAATTCACTTAAAGAGATATTCAATCATCATAGTTTAAGCCTAGGTGTGGATAGTCCAAATCTAATTCACTTAAAGTATATCTCTGATACCAACTTGTAACACCCAAAACTTTTAGATACATTTTAATATTATTTTCTAGGAATGTGTCAGAGTTTTATACATCATCATTCAAAAACCATATAACGTTTTTTCGAGAAACTTAGCGGGTGTACAAACCATATTACAACCATAATTAACGCAACAAGATTATACAATACAAAAATCTAAATCCAATCCATGTATTTCCCGAGAATGTTAGAGGGCTCAAGACCCAAAATTAGGGTTTTCTCATATTCAACCGCCACGTCGTGGCCATGGCCTTGCCACGTCATGATGGATAAAAGATGCGTGTTCCTTTTCTGTTGTGACCACGTCGTGGTGTTCCTCCACCACTACATCGTGGTCACCAAAAATCCCAAATTTTGAGAGTCTAAAATGATATAATTCCCAAAAGAATCGTACTTGGAAAGGGTTTTACAATTCTCCTCCACTTGAATTAGATTTTTTTTCTTAAAATCAGACTCGTTTAGAATTTTCTGGAAGCTGTAGTAACATAATCCACAGCTCCCTTCAACCACTTCATAAAATCAAGGCATCCAAATCGAAAATTCAAGAGACCATTCAGAATTCAACTGATGCCATAAAACAACCAGTCACTTGAAAAAACGCAATTGCAACAACTATCTCTCTCTTCCCAACTATAAGACTCAATTCATAGCGAAAACCACTCAACTCGAGAATCTTTTCAAAACTGGATCTACTAACAAACTCCATCAATATACTTCACAAAATCGGGAACCCGTCTATCTAAACTTTAGAAATCCCACCTAATGAGTCATGGTCATCCATTCGTCGTACCTACCCCTAGTCCCAGACTAGGAACACCACCTGAGCGTGCATAACGGACACTCAAAAAATTCCAATCCTGAATTTCAACTAGTCCCAAATCCGGAAATTATACCCAAAGGACCTCAAGTACAAACTTGACTTCCCAGCAAGTCATTACTATCCCACCGCTCCTATGAGTGTAACCGTGGCCAACCCAAAATCTCGCATGGCATCCAAAACTCCCATATACTCAGGTGTACCACTTTTTGACAATTCATCCAAGAGTCCTACAACGAACTCCATCACTGGGAACTTAACTCGCTTGAAATCTTTCTAAAAATCAAACAAGAATCCACTAAGGAGAAGCTCAACAAGAAATTATTTCTATATAACCATGATGTCAAACCCCAAAACCAGAACGGCGGAAACGTTCGGGGGCGGAGGACGTCATGTACAGTATCACAACAATGCATAATAGTAAACAAGCAACAACATCATCCATTGCATTAATAGTATAACTTTAATAAAAGTGTGTTCTGTAGTTTATAAGACACCCAAAATGAATAATCAAAATACAGATGAGTCTTGAAAGCTCCGTCTTCTCAAAAACCTGGTCATCTGTACCTGTCTACTGGTCACTTGAGAATACAAGTTATTTTGAAAGCATAGATCAGCATTAAAGCTGGTGAGTTCATAAGTATATAGTGTCATTGTTTGTATAAGTTTGAAGAAAGTACTATTAAATGTTTGATGTAAAAGTTTGTAAGTGTTTGATGTAAATGTTTGTAAACTTCCTAGAAAATCCTATATTTTCTACTAAAGTAGTCTTCTACCAAGACTCAACTGTTCTCTATGTTTGTTCTTTTATAAAAGTGTGAGTTTTCCAAAGTATGACTATCATTACCAAAAATATAGTTTTTCATTACCGTTTATGTGAGAAGATCACAATGTGAATGGAATGGGAAAATAAAGATGTACTGTAGTTTTATCTAGGTAACTACTAATGTACTAACTACCTTAAACTTGTTAGTTTAATTAAGGTAAAATGTGATATGATTGTATCCATAGTTGATCGACTAGTATAACACGACGTTCGAGACGTCGAAATGATATGACATTCGTCACCCGTAGACCTGCAGGTCCCACTGTAGCTAGCAGCAAGGTGTAGGAGGGTCAGTCCCGTATAGATCTATACACAAATTCACGCTCTCCATCCCGGAGACTCTAGGTAGAAAACATGACGCAACAGTATATTGCCGAGCCATGAAGTAGTATCTCACATTATTGTTATAGTATTCTTGTATTTGTATAGTATGTTCTAGTGTAGTGAATGTTCTTTCTGTCTAGTGTATAGTATATTCTATCTGTTTCTCTTTATAGTGAGTATTGTCTCTCGTTATAGTATGTTCTCTAGTGTATAGTGTGTAGTATGGATTGTATCTCGTTATAGTATGTTTCTACTGACTCATGTATGAACTGACTCTTGTATGTTTCATTGTTCTGGAAATAGTATTAGTGACTTCCTGAACTATACCTATTATAGTTTACTAGCAATGTTGTTTGTATGAATGAACATGTTTGTATACCTTTGCTAC